AAGGAGTGACATTTCTACAACTCAGCCTTCAGAGAGAAATACAGTAAAAGATACCAGATTAAGGAATGCATTCTTGACTGTGTATTGAGGGGCTGAGGGGATCTGGCTAGAGTAACGTATTAAGTTCTACTAACTTCTATTATTGAATTATCCAGAGTAGAGTGATGTATTATGGAGGATATTGTATTGAGATCCTAATTTCTGATCTGCTCTTCTCACTTTAGAAGAAAGCAATGGTAATTTTCTCTCACTGTACTCCCCTACATTGTCCAGGAAAACACAACCATAGATTTAATTAATTTGTGTTGTATAAAGCACCTGAAAATATGTCTCATCTAGAACTTAGGTTGGAATAAGCTTCAGGTTTCTCAAGGGCAAGCATAATTATTAGCCATTTTTGAAAACAATGGAAGAGTGGTCTAACTCAAGGAGGGAGTTAATTCTGAGAGACTGGAGGGATGGAAGAGCAATCAGACGCCCTAAGGTTAGTCAAGGTCTGACTAAGTTTGTCACAGATGTTTTATATCCAACCCATGTGGCCGTCCATACTTCATTTCTCTAACTCAAACTAGAGTTGACTAAGAAACTAATTTTGGAGAAGAAGGATATCTGTACAAAAAACTAAATAAGATTTTTCTTGACAACTCTAAAGGACGAAGACTGACGAGATTTAATTTGCTTCACAAAAGTAAAGGAATGGGACATTTTCTTCCCTCAAATGTGGTATAGCATTTTCATACCAGGTATTTTATAATTTATTTACTGGTGAAGGAAAGACAGAAGTGCATGGTCTTCTTAGTAGAGTAGAACTAAAACTGTTAATAATGGGTGAACCATGTGCTTTTCCTTTCTAGGCACTCAAGGTTCTCTGTACTTTCATGATACCACTAATCATAGAGGCATCTATTAATACAATATCTTTTAACTTATTTTTTTGGAATATCTGTTATGGCTGTGCATCACAGGAGACACTGTACACTGTCTTCTCAGTATATCTTTTCTTCTCCCTCATGAACAAAATCTTGATTTTGCCTCCAGCAATAACTGAAGCATATCAGGCAGTGTATCATGATAGTCAAATAATAATCCAATAATTTAGTCTGACAAATACTTCATTTTTCCAGCTTCCCTTGCTGGGAAATTTATCCATATAGCCCTATTTTGGACAGAGAGGGATAACAGAATGTCTGACACAAGATTCTTGTATTCCCAATGAAAGGAACCTATATGGTAAACACTACCTTCTTCTTTTTGCCTTGAATATGTCCAGTGTTAAAGTAGCCATCTTGTGACTATGTCATAACAATCATGAGAACAAGAAGTGAACATACTAGGAATGCATAACAAAAAAGAAGCATGGCCCCTTGTAACCTAGGTTTAGCAACTAAATCAGGACCTGCTTACCTTTTTTCTCTTCACAGGTCTTATATAATTAACAAAAATCCTGGCTGTTTAAGCCATGGTTAAGTTTACTATTGCTGCTGCTGTTTATTTGCTAAGTTGTGTCCAACTCTTTGCGGCTCCATGGACTATAGCCCACCAGGTTCCTCCATAGGATTTCCCAGGCAAGAACACTTCAGTGGGTTGCCTTTTCCTTTTCTAGGAGATTTTCCCAACCCAGGGATCAAACCTCCATCTCTTGCTTGGCAGGCACACTCTTTACCACTGAGCTCTTTGGGAAGGCCCTAGGTTTACCTTGAAGCCAAAAGCAGCATCTCAACTGTTTCTACTAGTTCATTTGCTATTCCTAGTGATTAAATAATGAATGGACCAATAAGACAGTTGAAATAAAACACATCTCAAAGGCTTGTTCTAAAATATTTCTTCATTTTAATTTCAGCCAAATGCAATTCTATCTGTGACTATCATTACATAGAGCAGATGGCTCAGAGGGTAAAGCATCTGCCTGCAATGCAGGAGACCCTAGTTCAATCCCTAGGTTGGGAAGATTCCCCGGAGAAGGAAATGGCAACTCACTCCAGTATTCTTGCCCGGAGAATCCCATGGACAGAGGAGCTTGGTGGGCTACAGTCTATGGGGTCACAAAGAGTCAGACATAGCTGAGTGACTTGATTAGATAAGGATGATCATAAAAGGCCTGTTTATGCTAAACCTAGAATCATGAGAAGCTAGGCAAGTGGGATTAATCTGAATTAAGTTATTTACTCCATTTGTCTTGAAAGTGCTTATTTAGCATGCCCTTTCTAATCTCTGTGCCTTTCTTTATCCTGTTCTTTGCCTGGAATACAGTCCACCATTTCTTTCTGTGATCCACCAACACAATCTTTAATACTACCTCATTCATGAATCCTGATCTGCCCTAGCCAAATTTCCTCTCTCTTGCCTCTAAATCCTCTGAAAATGAATACTAGAACTCCTCTGCATCTCATAGTGTTCTCTCAGATATTCCAGAAAAAAATGTGGAATAATTTTAGGGGGAACATACCACAGAATGGCAGAGGTGGGATTAGAAATAACTGGATACAGGGATAAGACACAAAACATGTTCTTTTCCATTTTCTCCCATGTCTGCACACTTTAGCAAATTCTCTTGTGTTCAGAAATTAATTATTGCATCTAAGAATTTAAGGAATATAAAACATGTGGCCTAGTAGAATCTTCTACATCACAAAAAATATTTTATAAAATCAGTATTCAGAATGCATGTTAATTTACCAATATATGTGAAAAGCTGTAATTGATCTAAAACTGACTAAAAGAATTATGAAGTGAAATGGTCTCATGAAGAATTATACATAATATGCTTGCAAGAAAACAAAAACAAACAAAAAACATAACCACAATACCATGTGATAAGAGCTATATAGCTGTGGATATAGACTACTGCAAAAGAAGTGTTAAAAGGTAGACTAACTGTGGCTGCAGGAGTCAGGGTAAGCCTTGAAGTTGAATAGTTCAATTGATGCCACAGATGAATGGGGCATACTGAAAGCAAAAAGAAGCCTGGGTACAGGGTTCTAAGGCTGGAAACCAAAGTATACTTGGAGAATGAGAAGTAACTTCCTTCAAAGATAGGAAATGTAAGGTTAACTATTAAATCATTGCAGATATGTGCTGATAGAAAGCCGGCCATTGTGAAACTCAGAAGTGACACTTAAGAACAAATAGAGTTAATAGCTGACGTGCCACTACTTCCAGGGCCTTTCTCAACAAAGGAGCTCAGCACATATCCATTGGACCAGAAAATCTTAGAAGCATTTACTGACCTGGTGATATTCACAGACACCTTTGAAGTAGACTATAAACATTTAATTCCAGATTTGAGACTGAAACATTTTAGTTTCAGTTCTGAGACTGAAAAATATTTATAGATGTATGCTGCCTTTTTTAAAAAAAAATATATACTTGCTTTTATACTCTTTTCCCAATTCTACAGCTTTCTATCTTCATAATGATTCGCATCCTTTAATGAACAGCCAGAATCATTAAGAAAAAAAAATGACTTCAAGTCTTTTCTTTTCAAGCATTTCTTTCTTTCTTTTTCTTTGACAAGCACAAGCAGTAGTTCACAGCAATGACAAAGAAGTCAATGATTTTACTCATTCCAGACTCCTGAGCATCCTATACAACTTCAAATTCAGGTATGGCTACAAAGCCCAGTATCTTTGCATCGATAATCTCACCTTACATAGAATTTAAATACCAGAAAAAGAAATTTAGGTTTCCTTTATTAGCCCCATTGACATTTTAGACAAAGAGAAATATAAAATGATGCAGAACAAAGAAAGACCATTATGTAAACACTGAGCCATGACTTGAAAAATGTCACCAGCCCTGTCAGAAAAAAAAAGGGAAAGAGGAAAGCAGATTAAGAAACATTTGCCCTTCTGAGCACATCACAGCAATTATATTTGAGCAATAATCCACAGCACTGTTACTTTTAGTCCATCACACAGTAATATCTGTAAACACAATTTGCTTGGATTTTCATTTGTCTTTGGGAGCACTTCACAGGAAATCACAGTATATACAACAGTTCTCAGGGTTTAAAACTATGTATTAAACATCATTTTGTTAATTTAACTTGTGTTAATGATGTAACAATTCTAGCACAGGTCGGAAAAAAAAAACTTGAAATAAACAAGGAGAAAAAAATCATATCTCAGTATTATGTTTCTTGACTGTATTTTCACAAACAATAATTTGATTCCAATTACCTTTAGAATCCCATGTGAATATCTTTACTCCTGTAACCTTTTCAACTTTCCTATTTCTGTAAGAATTTTCATTCACCTGACTTCTTGAGAAAATTTATAGAACTCATTTGATTTTTTCAAATATTTCTGACAGTAAAGAATACAATTTAATTCTCATTGATGTAATTAGTCTACTTCTTATTTTGATACTGGTAAAATAAATTCATTTTTGTTCATATAACAATTGATGTAACCCACTTATGGTTTTCAAAGATTCTCAGTCTATGAGCTTCTACCTGTTTAAGTGTCAGAAAGTTGATTTGAGTATAACACAATAGTTCTGTATAAATTTATTTTTAACAAGACAATTTAACAAAAAAGCAAAACAAACTAAAATCTTAGCTATTCTTCAGGGTAAAACCATCTGAAACCATTCAGTTATCGTTAAGGGCTGGCTAACATACACATGTATTGCGTATGTTTTGCAGTGACAGGTAGGGGCTCAAGCACTGGGTTCCCATTTATTAAAAAGCTTAATTGTACTTCTTAAATATTCCATGGGAAGAATACTGTTATTTTAAAGTACGTAAATAAATAAGTTCAAAGTCACATATTACTTAAACTTTCTGAACCTACTGTTTCAACCATAAAATAGCAATAGCTAGAATACCTGTAATTTTTGAAGTTGTTAGGGTCAAATAAAATTATATACATGGAAGGGAGTTGTAAACTTCAAATTGCTAATCAAATGTTGAATATTATTTCATGTGGTGTATTGATTGCAATTACTAATAAATATTTAGCATCACTGTTTGGCCATTTTTTTTCTCCCAAAATACTTACTGGTATAGACAAGTTGAAAGCCTTCATCCGTCCCTTCAGAATCAGAATTAAATTCTAGCCAGAGCTGGTTTGAAGTACTACTAAGTGTCAGTCCTCGCATAGATGCACCAGTAAAAGCACCTAGGAGATGAGTTGTTTTATCTTTTCCATCATAAATCTGCAAAATATATTTACAATTAAAATGAAAACATGTAAATAATAAACAATTCTGAGCATGCATTTATATCTATGAAGAAAATGAGCGATTACATTCCCTAAATCAAGTCATTACATGTTTCCCAAGAAAAACCGCATATATCATTAATTGATTTTACAAATGCCATAGTAAAAGAGTTAAGATTCCACATGGATAATTTTAACATTTCAAGCTCAGTAGACACTAAGTAACACTCAAACTCATGTTATAGAGTTTTTGCTCTTATTTTAAAAACAATGCTTTTTTATGGCAGACAATTTAAAATTGAGAATTGGTGGGTTGGTGGTTGTTTTGAACATTCTCAAGGGCACCAAACACCTGGTTTTCTAATAACATAATTAATATAAAATATACTTGCTTCTTTGTATGCTCTATTTATCCACACCTTCTAACTTATTTAATATTTGACCCTTTAAAAATGCTGAAATGGAGCTAAATGCTTTTAGAAACTGATTTAACAAGGCAAAAATATACAAAACAAAACTGATACCTTCCCAAAGATCACTACCTCATTCCCATTTTCTGAAGGTGTAGCTTCTCATTGTCCTCTAGTTTTCTTTATCTTATCAAAGCATTATAGACACGTCTTTATATCAATAGATATAAATTCTTGCTTTTGAGAACTGGGTAATATTTCATCCAGTTACACTATCACAACTTGCCTTACCATTCCTATATTAACAGTTAACATTCCGATATAAACAAAGATTTTTGCCACTAAAAGTGATCCTGAAAAAAAAAAAAAAAACTTTTACATATTATCTCACATTTCTCGTTGCTACCTGTATTTCAGTAAGAAAGGTTTCATACATTTAATACATTGAATTTGGGTGCTCAAATGTAGGTGTATTGTCAGATTATTTTCCAAAAAGTGTACAGTAATTAAACTGAGGATTGGTCAACAATGCATATTGCCATTCTTTTTTAAGGCATGCATTTTCAGTGTCGTAGCTATTACTCCCAACATTGAGAAAATTAGTTCTTAGAGTTGATAAAACCTTGTATATATGGTTTGTTGACCTACAAAGACTAACTAACAAATCTCATTCCACAGTACTTAGTTTTATGAAGTTGAATCTGGGGGATCCTTCCACAAATGATAACAAATAGAAAAAGTTGAGAAATACTTCTGATAGTTATTTGTATTTTGCCAAAACTGCCTTACTTATGACCTATCATAAGAGTAAAAATTATGTCACTAAACTTCTAATCTGGTGATCTTGCCACAGCACCAATGTTCCCCTAAAATGGTATTCATTATGTTCATGTCACCTAAGAGATGATATTTAGATGGTATATGATGGAAAGTTTATTACTACTACATTAATTTGTATGATATATGTTTCTTGTGTTAAATTGTAGGATTTAACTTGATTACCTATTTATAATGTTTTCTAAAATTTGTAATTAAAAGCTGATGTATAACTTTTTAATCAAATTATCCCTATAAGGTTTTAGATTATGTTTATGTTAACAAACTAAATTAGAAAAAAATTACTATTTCAAAATCTAATTTTTCAAATAAAATAATGAGATTTTTTTATCTTTGGATTCACGGTATTCTTCAATCCAAGGAAATGTTCTTGAGTTTTGGTTTATTTAATTATTACCTGTATATTTTATTTTTTTGTTTCCATCTTAAGTGCCTATTATGTACATATTCAGTCTCCAAATTGCATTACAATTCTTTTACACGTTTTTCTTCTGAAATTTATCTATATTCCCTCTATATTATGGCCTATCTTCCACTGGAACTTTTACTTTTAACAATTAACTTTTCAGCAGTAACTAATCTCTTTTTATAATCTTCTATTAAAATCTTAAATTTTAAGTTCTATTAATAGACAGGTCAGTCAAGTTCTAGAAAGTCAGTCTGTCTGTCTTCACCTTCTTTCCTCTCTTTCCCCAGTCTCTGTTTTTGGTACTCAAATTGCATTATCATATCAAGATAGTTGGGAGAAATATCAATAACCTCAGATATGCAGATGACATCATCCTTATGGCAGAAAGTGAAGAGGAACTAAACAGACTCTTTATGAAAGTGAAAGAGGAGAGTGGAAAAGCTGGCTTAAAACACAATATTCAAAAACTAAGATCATGGCATCTGGTCCCATTACTTCATGGCCAATAGACGAGGAAACAATGGAAACAGTGACAGCCTTTGTTTTCTTGGTCTCCAAAATAACTGCAGATGGTGACTGTAGCCATGAAATTAAAAGATGCTTGCTCCTTGGAAGAAAAGCTATGACCAACCTAGGCAGCATATTAAAAAGCACAGACACTAATTACATTGCTGAGAAAGGTCCGTCTACTAAAAGCTATGGTTTTTCTAGTAGTCATGTATGGGTGTGAGAGTTGGACTATAAATAAAGCTTAGCACCCTAGAATGGATGCTTTTGAACTGTGGTGCTAGAGAAGACTCTTGAGAGTCCCTTGGACTGCAAGATGATCAAACCAGTCCATCCCAAAGGAAATCAATCCTGAATTATTCATTGGAAGGACTGATGCTGAAGCTGAAGCTCCGATGCTTTGGCCACATGATGCAACAAACTGACTTACTAGAAAAGACCCTGATGCTGGGAAAGATTGAAGGCAGGAGGAGAAGGGGACGACAGAGGATGAGATGGTTGTATGGCATCACCAACTTGATGGACATGAGTTTGAGGAAGCTCTGGGAGTTGGTGATGGACAGGGAAGTCTGGAATGCTGCAGTCCATGGGGTTGCAGATTTGGACACGACTAACCAACTGAACTGAACCTGTAGTTTTATATTTTCTTATTACAGATAGAGGTTTTAAACACTGCAAAGACAACAATACTTTTATTTAACATGCTTTATAAATGTAGCTTTTTTCAGAGTCCCTAGTATTCTTTTCTAACAACATTTTATAACTATTCTGCCTAGAAGTTGTGAAGTCTCCAGTGACTAGGCATTTCCTGCTCTCTCCCTTGTGCCTGTGGGAATCTAAAGCTTCATATTATAACCCTCCAGCAGCCATACATTTATTTATTTGTTTCATTACCAATGAAAAGGAAGTGGAAACAAGAGTGAGAAAGAGAGGAATTGAGTCATAAAATCAATTCAACATGCTCACTAAATTCCTAACAGCAACATCTTACGGGTCTCCCTGTTTTTTTAAAAGGCCTTTCTGTCTTTTTTTTTTTTTTTTTAATGTGTTGACTATTTAAGGAATATTTGACGTCTAGATAAAGGGCGGTATGGATAATTCCATAAAATTATATGGCAGTACCAGGAACCCCTCTTGGAATCTAATTTATCACACAAATACAGTTCTGTTAGTTATTAGCAAAAATTTGTCTTGAACAAAGCTGAAGCAAATGCTGAGGTTGTTAGGTCAGGAATATTTTTGTTTGTCTGTCTGAGTACGTAAGAGTCAACGTTTCATTTCTTAAGAATAGCACTCATGAGGAATAATTCAGACAAAGAAACATTGCTTGTCAGGAAAAACAACCTCTGTGTTTGAGTTTCAAATGTTCAATATACTCATAAATTGACTTCTGAATACAGTTATATTATGACTCTACATATGCTGTAGTTTATAAATCCTGTGTTTAGAGGTACACAATCACAATCAAACCATGTAACCAAATGATCCAGTGGATCTAATTTGTAGTTAATACTGTCAAAGTAACCACATAGAATAGGCTTCCCTGATAGCTCAGATGGTAAAGAATCCTTCTACAATGCAGAAGACCTGGGTTCATTTCCTAGGTCGGTAAGATCCCCTGGAGAAAGCAATGGCAACTCACGCCAGTATACTTGCCTGGAGAATGCCATGGACAGAGGAGCCTGGCGGGCTACAGCCCATGGGGTCATAAAAGTTGGACAGGACTTGACTGACTAACACAACCACATAGAATTTTTTCCTTTTATTTCTCTTACTGCTAACCAACATATAATTTCATTCATATGTTAAACATAAATAAATTTTCTTGGATTCAACGAATTCTGCTTTCAAGTGTGGATACATTTTAAGAAATTTCAATTTGTCAAAAACAACCAAATAAATGGGAAATAAAAATAACTAATAGTTGCAATTGAGTAAATGGAAATTGAAATTTACTTTTAACTTTAAAAAAAGGTCTCTCCTAATTTTTTTCCTCAAATTTTCAGTGGTAATAATAATAATAATAATAAAAAGAGTGTAATGGTAGCAGAGACCCTTATTTCACTCCACATATATAACCCTAAGAAAAATTTTAAAAATAATCCAAATTATCTGCCACAAGAGATACATATTTATATTAATTTTTTTCAAGACAGAAGCACACATTTTGCTTTTTCAAAAGAAACTTTACTTAAGAAATGATTTCTAAATAATCATTGAATAAGAATGTATGAAAAAGGAGCTAAATTTTCAAATGAAAATAATTATCTTAAACTCAGCTGGGAGAATCTAATTTAGCACCAAAGCTAACTACCATTTATTTAACAATGTAAAGTCAAAAGGCAGAAAACAAATAATGTAGAAGCACCACTATAATTATCAAAATTAAATGAAGTGTGATCATTCAGCTATAAAATTTTGGAAGTGTATATAAATTCTTAAGTCAAAATGAAAAGCAAGTGTTAATTAAGTAGGCTTTAAAAAGTGAAGAGTTTCATAGTTATGATCAAGTCAATGCTGTTAAACCTGTAAATAAAATACTTCAGAGTATTCAAATATACATGAACACATAAAAGCAACAAGGTAGGAAAAACCAGTGTATACAGTCAAAGACTAAATATACTGAAATATACATGAATGCAATCATACAAATAAGAAAATTAAACAAACAAAATGTGTCTTACATTTTAAAATAAATTTATGGTACAGAGTGATTATGTTGGGTTTGATCAGAACCTCATAGAAACTTTGAGGTTATTACTTCTCATTTCTTTTCTATTTAAAATCAGGATATTTAAGTATATTTTTATTTATTTGAGCTTATTTTTTTTT